CTCAGTTTCTTACGTTCGCTGACAGAGCTAAGAAAATCGCCAAAAGCGTCTATGCATTCACGCAGCGACTTGCCGCTAGCCGGATCCTCCAGCTCCGGCGGCGTTAACTTCTCGGTCTTGGGTTCTGCCGAGTAGCTATACTCCTCATCCGATTCAATTAGTCCGAAATCAAAGCATTTGATATTCTGTCCTTTGATTATCTCCTGATACTGCAGCTCGTCGATTAGCTCATCAATGAGTGCGGCACACACCTCGTCAATGGGTGGCTCTGGTGCCTTGGTGAGGTCGTCTTCATCCAAAGTGCTCGTGATGTCGTACAGGACATCTGTCTCATCCTCTAGCTCCTGCAATAGCTCGCGTAACGATGCCTCATCCGCCGCCAGCTTTTGACTCATCTGCTCACAAATTAGCTCAGCCTGTGCGTGGCTTGTTTCCGAACTCAGTAATTTAATCTGGTACTCATCTTCGTTGGGCACCTGGGCACTACGGGTCTCTTTGATTGTTAATTGACGCAGGCACTCCTCCGTTCGCCATTCATAGCTGGGCGTGTCGCAGCCAGCTCCAAAAACACGCCTAGGCACATCATCTGTGCAATCATCCAGTACCTTGGCAAAGGCAGTATCCATTTCATCCAACTCTGTTTCATTTTTCTCCGCTTCCATCTCTTCTATTAGTACTTTAGTTTCCTGCTCGTCCTTAGCTCTTTTCTCTTGATCCTTCATGTTCTCACAGATGCGTTCCCTGCGCACGCTAAACTCCTCTATTATGCGTAGCGAACGCGTCACAGTAGTCAATTCAATGCACTTCTTTTTATCCGCTTCTTTCTCCTCATCGGAGCTGCTGCTTGTTTCCTTAGCTTGATCTTCTGGCGTGCCTCGCAGTTGATGAAGCGGCTGCCGCAGCTCTTCCAAGTCCTCGTCCAGTTGGTTACTGAGCTCTTCTATATTATATTCAACTATACCATTTGCCTCGTCGCACTCCTCTTCATATTCCAATTGCTCCTTGGTCTTGACTATATTATTTACAACCGCCGACCGCAACTTGGGCATTTCCTCTGTGTGTAGCTTAGACTCCAGCTCATTATTGGCGTTTCCCTCTGCCAGCATTGTCTTGCTGAACTCGGGCTGTTCTGCAAATATTTCCGTGCCATAGGAGTCGTACATGCGATCTATACATTCCTGTTTGATTTGCTCGGCTGATGGTTCGCCAGGATTGTTTGAAGCTATGGCGCCTAATTTCTCGCTTGATTTCTCTAGATCCGCTGCGCTGTTTTCATCCATTTCCGAGCCGCTATCTGGTTCGTTGATGAGCTCCGGTAATTCCTTAGCTTCCACTTCGTTGATTGCGCTGTTTTCCTGTTCTTCCTTTCCTGCTTCTTCCAGCTCAGTTGGCTTTGCGTCCACTTGGGTTTCTTCAAGCTGTGAATCCTCTATTTTGTTCTCTGCTTTTGTCGCTTCCTCCTTCTGTAGCCTGGCTCTCTTACGTTCCACATCAAGTTCTTCTAGTTTAACTTCCTCTATGTATATACGTTTGCCTGTGCGTGTCTCCTGATCGTCTCGTTCGGGGGTAACCTCCAGTTGCTCCTCTGGATTTACCGCATCGGCAAGCTGTGATTCATATAGCACCTTGGGACGTCCCTCCAACGGCTTGGCCTGACGATTGCTCAACTGTTCAGCTATATCGTCTGCTTGCGAACCGTTGCTGGCTTCATCAGCTGTGCCCGAGCTACCAGAGCTATCGTTATCCTTATTGTCACCAGATACTTCACTCCATATATCATCCACGCAGCCGTATTCTAGCGCGGCTTTTACACGTGTCTTTTCCGCACCTTTGTCGGCTTCCTGTTCCGCTTCCGAATCTGTTGAGCTAATCAACGAATCTTGTTGGTCCGGCGGTCGGTGACGATTGCGCAGTTTGATGGTATCTAGGAAGAGGATAACAGGGTAACTGAATAGATCTCACGGCAAATACAAAAACTTACAGTTTACGCTATCACGCATTTTCTTGCGATCCGCGCGATTCCAGCGCATATTTTCCTTGCGTTCGCCCTCATAGCCTTCACGTTTCCTAAGATACAGAAATGTATATGTAGCTTGCATATAAAACATGTTTTAAAGGCTTTTTTTTTTACCAGGCCTCGGCACAAGCGCGATCACGTGGGAATACAGGTCGACTGTCCAAGTAGGTTAGTTCCTTCTACGAGTGATAAAATACAGGAATTTTTCAAAATAGTTATTTAAATTAATTAAGAAGATTGTTTTCTCCGTTTCAGCGGAATTTGCATTCCGCAAACTTGGTCAATTTTACTTAAGTATTTGATTATTTAGATAAAAATGTTTTACTTCTATTAAAAAACCAAGTAAAGAGCGTTATTTCTGTATAGAATTGTCAAGTGCTGCCCGGTTTCAATATCAGCAGACTTTACTATTGCCAGCGGCTTGTTCCCCTAACGAGACTTTAACCAGTTGCGAATTACAAGCATTGGTATGTTTATATATAGATATATAAGCAAAATCTAATGATTCTCAATAAGCTGTTACAGATATTATTCAGCAGATGTAATAAGTCTGCTAACGGAGTCTGCTTTCGGAACTCCAGTTTTTCCTTTTCATACTCACACAGGCCAAAATCAGGGTCTTGCGATATTGCGGCAAACGGGATACGACAGGATTGCCCTGCAGCACCAAAACTTTCAGGGAGGGCATCTTTTCAAAGATCTTAACAACCAGTATGTCATCTATGCGATTATTTGACAAATCCAGCACAGCCAAAGTCTTACATTCGATCAAATGTGCCAGACTTTCGCTGTCCTTTAAATAGTTGGACGATATATTAAGTGTATTCAGAACAGGCAATATATCGGAGCCAATGTTCTCAATCAGGCGTATATGATTCGAGCTGAGGTTCAGTGTGTCCAATTGGGGACACGAAGCCAAATTCTCGATGCGTTTGATCAGATTGTTTTGAAGAAAGAGACACTTGAGTTTGCTCTGTTTGTCCAGACCCTCGATTTCCGATATGGCATTGCACTCCAGCCACAGGCACTTGAGTTCAGTGTACTCATCCAGGCATTCAATATATTGATAGCCTGTAAATTGTTAATAACTAATTATTACTGGCTTAGTAAACTCAGCTGTTCATTTAGTTTTTACCCTGATAGTGCAAATACAGCACATCGTTCAGACGCGGCGTCTGATATAGCTTGTCCTTCTTGCAAAGATCTCGAAGGCCCTTCTGTGTCATGCGATGCAAACCGGTTACCTCTTTGCGTGGCGCCACAGCGCCCACAGCTTGTGCCATTATTAACAATATAACTATATGTTTCTTGATATAGTTATTAGTATTATATTTAGATTTAAAACTATGCAACTCGATTCCTAATATTTGATGCAGTGTGTCTAACAAATTTGTTGGCGTAGTTGACGGCGCTTGTTACGTTCGTTTATTATTTATTATTGAACAAACAACATATCAAATTGTTAGGGACAACCACGCTCCAAGCGCTTACACGTAAAGCGAGCACAATATTAGCCACCTTCTGTGGTATGTTACTGATCAGGAAACTATAGGAAACTAATCTCTCAAATATTTAGCTTGGTAAAAATTTACCATAATTATTAATATTGCCGAGAACATTTTTATAATTTGTTAGAGCCCAAAGCGAAAAACCTGCCCTTTGATATTCATACGGGATTTCTTACTATCACAGTTAACTAAGTCCCGGCCATAAAATGTAATTATTTGTATAATTTTACGTGCTCTTACAACTATTAATTATCGTGGAATATAATTGAGGAACCCAAACTGTTTTCTTAATTTTAGTTGGTATTTTTGGTTCATTATAAAACAAAATTACCATACATTAAACTTTAAAGTTGTATATTAATCATCATTTCTTTCATAATTAAAAAAAAAAGAAATCATCTTAAGTGCATATTAAAATTTTTCAAAGCAAAGAAACTAACTTCGAGTACATTTATATCGAACTAAGAAACATGCAGAAAATATATTAATATTTGTGAATTTTATTATCATCATTATTCTCAAATTTTTAACATATGCAAAATAAATTCTAATTACCCCATAAAACCCCAAAACTCGATTTTAATTGGCTCAACTTTGAAAAAAAATATATATATATTAGACTTCATAGTAGTACGTTTTCAATTGTTCATTTATTGATTCTTAAGTTTTTCAGTGCTGCACAATTTTTTCAGCTCACATCATTTATAAAATACATACTTGCAAATGCATATTAATATTAATAAATCGTGCTGAGCTTTGCAATTTTAGACAATTACTTATATGGGTTGTTGCATTTCAGATAATCTAACATTGAATTGTAATATTCATGTGTGGTCGTTTTTAGAATTGCGTTCTATATGCACGCTTCTTAATTATAATCATTTAATTAGTTCGATTTTCAACTGTAAATTCGATATTCAAACAGTTTTTCAGGAGTTGACCAAGATATGTAAAATTCTCCCAAATGTGTTGTCGCTTCCTTTTGTTTACAATACAATTTCAAGTCACATAGATATTCATTGTATACATAAATATATATATATATATGTATATATATTGGTATGTATGTCTGTTGCTAATATATTTGTGTGTTTGTGTGTAAAATGCAGTGTTCTGTAAATATATATGTATATAATAAATTGGTTCTAATAATATGGGTATATAAAAACAATTAGCAAATGGTGGGTTCTTATTTTGGGGAGCCACACATGCACACACACTCTGAGACACACGCATATACATTATAAAAAATTCGAAAAGCGATAAAATTACTACATATATAAAAAATTGTTCCAAGGACACTTTGTAAAACGATGAAATGATGCATGAATTTCGAACCAGTCGGTATATAGTGTAGAGTATACCTATATATATATATATATGTTATTACAATGTTTTGATCTGCATATGAGCATGTGTGGTGGCGCAATGCATTGGCAAATGGGAATGAGTATAAAATCGAAATACAAATAATATTATGATTTTAACTAATACAACGAAATATATTCAAATAAAGCATAATGCTTATACAGAGCGTTTAAGTGGAAAAGTGTACAAAATTGTAAAGATTACAAATCCAATAATAAGTTTTTAAATAGTAAAAACCATTGAGATATATAGCTTATCTTTAGAGCTCAGTACAACTGAGCAGGAAATAACATTAACAAGTTTTCAACTTAAAGTGAAAATGTTGGGTTAACAGTGAGTGTTTATCGATTGACATAAATGATAGGTATAAATTGTGATTGTGATTGTGTTTTGAGTATTTTTGTGTATTATATGTTGTTCTTCTTCTGCTTATCAACGAGCTTCTTGAGAGACGGCAACGAGTTATATCGCATGCATGTGACCAAACTACAAACTAGGCTAAGGGCTGTCTTTTAAAATCGATAAATGGGATCCTCGCTGCGCAGCCTAAACATGATCGTAACTGCGGCGAAACGAACGATACAAACAGCAGGCGAAGAGTATGGTGAGCAGCTGTAGAATAGGACATTCAAGGATAAGCAAGAATTCTTAAGAATATATAATAAATGCACGCTGACTTACCTGTATGCCTGCCACGGAGAGCACCACGCTGGCCAATATCAAAGTCTTGGAATCGAGTATGCCTAACAGTTTTTGCAGACAGCCCTGCTGTATGGCATGCATTGTGGTGCAATCTTTGGCCTCGCTTAGATTGATCAGCTTGCAGCAGGCCGGAGGCAGCGTCTTATTGGCAAAAATGCCATCCCAATCGTTGGGTCCATGGGTGCCACAGCAATCCAATTCCGTTTGCAACAGAGTCCAGGCATCACGATAATCATCACGTTCCCTATAATGCTTCATGGTCGTATTGAACTGGGTTTCCATCAGCTGCTGCAAGCCCGAGTGCTTCACATAGCCGGCAATGCCAAGACCAATCTCCAGCAGGAATATTACAACAGCCAGTATAGCAAAGCTCAGTATCATGCAGCTGTTCTCCTTAAGAGCGCCACAGCAGCCCAGGAAACAGATAAATGCGACTGCGGCGCCGACAACCATGAGTATAATGGGCGCTGTCCAGATGTGATCACTGACAAAATTTGAGTAATGCGCATAATTCAGCTGCACTATTGTGCCCACCGTTAGGATCAGTAGACCCGTAAGCTATGGAGCAATATACAGAGATTAGCACAGTTCGATAAACCCATCATTTTATGGCCAACTTACCGCGAAAAGCAGATTGCAGAAAAAAGTGATATATTTGACACATGTCAAACCGCCGGATGCCATTTTTGGTCAGAACCTTTTACACTGGTTACCGTGTAGATACTGCAAGGATATGAGGAAAATATTTATCAAGGCAGGAAAAAAATTGAAATTAAAAAATAATCGATAGATGGTCAACCGCACAAAACGAATGGGAAAGTTGTGGAGTCAACCCCCAAATCAGTGGCAGACACGCAAACCACAGCGTCGCCCGCCCCAAACGATGTCCAGGTGTCTCTATTTGCCACCATCTGCCACCTGCTACCTGCCAACTGCCACACCTGTCTAGCCTCGTCTGGCAGCGGATTAACCCTACAACAACCCCTGTTCCAATGCACGGCAAAAGTGGCCAAGTCCGTATAGAAATGAGTCCGCCTGTGTTTAGCCATTTTCACTTTGGGTGGCCTAGATCTGAGGCATTATTATTTGTTATTATATGGAATTGTTGGCCGTGTTTGTGCTTGCAGCTGAGTGCATTGTTTTGGTGGCAAGGACGCGTTAGCTGTTCCCGTTTCGAGTGCAACGGGCTTTCAATGCAACTGTCATAAAAATCGATCCAAGTTGATGTGAATATGCCGACAGCGTGGCGGCTTTTGCAGCTGTGTAGGACTTAAGTGGCAGGTTTTTGACTCAAGAGATTTAAAAGAACTGGTCGAAAAGAGTTTTTCATCAACTTATTTGTTAGTTTATTTTTATTATCTTTCAAAAGTTCAGTTCTTACTTGAAAGACTCGAGAAATGAGAAAAACGAAAAATGTTTGTCAGAAACAATTAAAATCAAAATCTAATATTAAAAAGAATTAATTCCCAAATATTTTAAATATGGAAAGAGCGCTAAGAATTATTTTGGCTTCAAATTGAATAATCAAAACTCAATTTAAACTCTGCTCTATATTGAAGTGTGGATTATTCTAATTTAATAAGATTTTTAATCTAGACATCATTATCTAATGTATATTTCTGGCACATTGGCATTATTGATTCATTGCTGTTAGTCAACCAACTTAATGTTGTATTTATCTGCGCTTTTTTTACATTTACACTATATGAATATAATGTTTGTACCTAATCAGAATATCGCAATGTTCACCGCTGACCTTTAGCATTTTATTAGTTAAGAACGCAAGTTTTGTCCAACGAACCCCTTCATTTGAACTCTTCAATTAGAAAAGGTGACTGTTCCAATTAGTTGACCAACGCAATAGGCATAATTTCCCACTGTGCAACATGAATAAACAAAATATCGCAGCGAAAGTCGTAACGGAATCGATCGCCCTGAAACTGTGTCAGCGACGGGTGCTGAAGTAGTTAATAACGCTGGACATTCGGGTGAATTGATTGAATTAGTTCTAAAAAGGAACTGGAAGTGAAAAGGTTCAGCTGTTCACCTGCCGCAACTGACGCAGGTAAACAGGACAATAGAAATGCTGTGGCGGGACTGTACCCTGGGCTTGCAACTGTCAAACATGTGCTACACATTTTAGTTCTTTATTTTGATAAGAGTGTGACGCAGAACCGATTGACCTATGACATAAGACTATTTATAGTAATCAATCAAATGTATGCCTAAGAAAGTAAAACTGTTCGATTTGCATATTCAGCTAGAAAATGCGACAATACATTAGAGGAGTGCTTGAAGCTATCTAAAGCGAATATTAGGCAGCAAGTCGATGCTAATGAATATCTAATATAACTAATTCATTAATTAATATAATCATCAATAGAGAATATATTTGCACAATGCACAATTTAATCGGTTCTTGACACACTGTAGAATATTTGATGTGGTCGCGTTTCGTGCCAAATGGGAGACGTTGATGGGGTCAGTGGGCTGCGATGTTGGAGCAATTATACACATATACAAACAGACATGCATGCGTGCATGTGTGCATGTGTGCATGTGTGCATGGGCATAACAACAAACTTGTGTTGCGTGCCATCGGCTAATTCCGGAAATTTAGCTATAGACATGGCTAACGGGCATTAAACAGTTGCCCCCAAGCTGACCGTTGTGATATGCGTGTGTGTGTGTGTGTGTGTGTGTGTGTGAGTGGGAGCTTTTGATTAGATTTTAAGTTAAAACGTAATAGACGAAAGTGTTAACAACTGTAAAATTGCAATAGCACAAAAATGGAGCACAGTGTGACCAAATGCCAATTGCAGCGCCAGCCACCCGAGGTTAACAAACTGTAACGAACTCAAGCGGCAAATGCAAACGCACACTACCTAAAACATACAACATGTATGCATGTACATATGTAAATACAAATGCATGTGTGTGCGTGTACAGGAATTTTTGATCAGCATCAAACAAAAACATGCAACTATTGGTCGCTTCTGTTTTTGTTTTCTTATTTTACCTGCACGTTCCTGTATTCTTATTATAACTTGTTTGCCTGCCATAGGTTCACACATACCCATATACATACATACATACATACAAATCTATGTACGTGTGCACAGACTCAAATGAATCTCACAGCGTCTTGAGAAAATAAAAGAGGAGCATCAAACAAAAGACCAGCTAAGTAGAACGGAAGCAGGCAGTGAACCTGAAAAGCAGAAATAACTGCACTCTGACAGCCCACCTCTGCGCTTCACCCAATTCTACAGACACGCACATACATATGCACACAGGCAACACACACTTAGTCTAATTGCATTCTTTTTATGTATGCAGAAAATTTTTGTTATTAACTTTTTATACTCACTTTGGCTTGCAATTAACTAATCACAATTTTCTAGTTTTCTACTTTTTGAAAATGCTTGATTTTTCGTTAGCCGTTGGCTTAGCTCGCGATGTTTTTGTCGCAAGGCGCAAAAACACAATGCAAACGCAAACATAAAATCTTGTTTTGGTTATTGTTGTGGAGCGCATAGCGCAGGTCCGTTACTCGGCTTGCCTATGAACTGCAAAGAGATATACACAGAGAGAAAGAGAGCGAGTGAGAGAGTGACGTCACAAGCTCGATAACACTTGAAAACTTGCTAAGATGTGCTATTACTGTTTCATGACAACAGATAAGCATACATCGCTCTGTTCAAAGAGCACAGCAACATTTTTGAAACTCATTTACAGTTAGTTGTAAGCACTTTGTCAATTGTGAAATTCAAGCTGTGGCGGTTAACGATAAGCTTTAGTGAGCAACACGAATGCCGCATGATTGCCGCATGTGTCGTTAAGTTTGTACTCTTTTCTAACTGTGTGGCAGCGCTGCAGCTGTTCACGATATTTAAAAACGTGACGATAGTTTTCTTTGCTGGCGGCCAAACCGCACGCCAATTGCTTGCAAATAATTTATTTGTTTATTTTTTTTTGTGTGTTAATGTAAAGCTTAAAGCTTGATTTGAAAAGCAATACGTAAAATATATGAATATAAACACAATCTGAAAATAACAAAGCTCTGAAACTGAACAAACATGATGCAATGGTGTGATGGAAACATGCAAAAGATCTTAAAAAACAAAAAACAATAAAAGATTTCTCTCTCCGCTGGGAGTAATCTTTGGGTTAAAACGGTACGTAAACTCAGTTTTCTGTAGAACTTACCTTTCGTCCGATGATTTGTTCACTCTTGATGAGACTAAATATTTTAACAATTGAAACTCTTTTATTTAATAGTTTTTGACTTTATTTAATTAACTTTATTTCCGGCGCAGTTAGATATCTTTATGCTCTATACAGTGCTGCTACAAGTATATATATGTATATATGTATATATTTATGTACATACGAGTACTTGTTTTTTCTTTGTTGCTTGTACACACCAAATGCTCATTTAGACCAGACTTAACTTTATGTACACTGAGACTAATAGATGTTTAAGTATTCTTTTACAATTTATACAATATATATATATATATATATTTATATATAATTAAATATGTTGATAGACGTGCATTGTGTGATAACATTAGCTTAATAATTCTCTACACAACTAAACTACTCGCCTATATTGCAATTTGAAAGGTTTTGTATGCGTTATACTGAATTTGACTAGAATAACTCGTTATGAGGGTTTTTATCTACAAGCCAAATGCAACCCTGTTTTTCGTTTTCGTTTCGTTTTTAGCTTGCTAAAAATTAACACTACGAATAAATATCGTTAAACTTTTGTCTTAGCTTATTTTCAATTTGAATTGAATTCGATCTCGATGAGCCGAGAACTGTATATCATATGATGTTGTATTGGTTTGAATTTGCGCCTTTGAGCTTTCCGCTAGCACTAGAACTGTAAATCCCCAGTTAACTTGCTAAATCTTGACTAATCAAACGTAATCAACAAGCTTAAGTTGACATCCACGCGAACAAATAGCCACCCTTACTACTATTTTTCACTTAATTATTGCTAAGTCCAACACACACACACACGCACACACACACACACGCACGCAAGCCACCCACAGGGTAACGTTATTTTATTACTGTTTACCGTACGCACGTCACCGTGTGCCATCTCTTTCTAACCAAAGGTCGCTAACGGTCTAACGGAAGTGTGTCAGTTCGAATGCGCCTTTTCAACGGTTTTGTGTGTTAATTGTTTTGTTGCCACACGGCCCACATGCCCCATGGCCCACATGCCCCCCCTGCAGTTTGAGCCATTACAACAACACTAAATTTCAAGTGCATTAAAAGATCATGGGTGGTAAATTAACTAAGCGACGACGCGTCACTTGCTGTTCCTGGCGTCGCATCGGGTCGCCATATTTGCCATCAGCATCTACTTAAGTCCCAGTACCGTTATTTAACGTTAATTGATGCTGCGTCTTTGTTGCTGCTATTGCTGCCAATTGTATATGTTCTCTCTCTCTCTCTCTCTCTCTATATATATATATATATATATATAAACATATATTTGTACGAGATATTGAATTTCGTCGCGCCCTTCGACTTGTCGGCTAATCAATTTTTCAGTTTCATTCAAGCGTTTCGTTTGATTTACTTTTGTCGCTAATTCGTGTTCCATTCGTCCGTTTCGTTTTATCTGAACTACATTTGTTAATAATATGCTATTTCTAAACTTTAATAACTATGCGTACGTAAATATGTATATTAACAACTTTGAATAATTGCGTATGTACTTGAAATTTGCACCACAACAGTCGGCTTGGTTTTTTTTTTGTAATATACAATTTTTTTTTTTTTTTTGAGAAAGAGCCAAAACAAAAAGTAATTTAATTTTCACAAGCGAACATAATTTGTTAACTGTCTTTTCTTTTAGAAATTGACCAATTTATAACTTAAATAAGTTGTGAATAAAACTTTGATCTCGTTATTTTAGTTATTTTTTCGAAAAATGTTGCTTGAGTGCAAATTAAGCAGCGTTTAATTCCCCCCATTTTCTCAAATTTTGCCGTTGTAGATACGACTAAAACTCAAATTGACAATCTCATTTTAACTTTCTTCAAATAAGATTTTTGTAAAATTTGTAAAAATTTTCTTCGTTTGGTTCCAGTTTTGAAATCATTTTCAAGCTCTATTCGGTTTTAATTTTTGCATTGAAGTTAAATATTTTTGCAAAAAAGTAACTGAAGACGAAGTTAATTTGCAAACACTGTATGGAATTTTCTAAGAGTGCAGTGTTGCCAGATGTGCAAAGCAAAGATGGCAACTCTTGACAAAAGCCTGGTAAATTGTGGAAATAGTTAATTAGAAAATGCTAAATTGAACAGAAATAATTAAAAAGTTGACTTTTTAGATTTTGACAGTCAGGTTACATTTCAAAGTGAATTTTCATTTTAACAAATGGAAAAACATTTGCTGACAGCAGGTTAAAGTGCATGCTAACATTGACTGTAACTTGAGAAAATGGGTTTTCCCATTTATGCTGCGTTGAAGCAAAGCTGTTTGGTAGAGTTTAGATAACTTTGAAATTCACTTAGATTTATGAGCGTTTATTCTAATTAATTAATTTTTGGTTTTTGTTTTGTTTGGTTTGGTTTTCTCTTATTGTGGAAGTTCTGATCAGGACATTGAAATATTATGCTCTAGTTATATTTTCCACTCTAACTCGGCATGTGCTATAAATTCTATTTGTGTACTTATATTCACTTTACCACAGACCATCAGTAGAAGCCCAATCGATGCTTACAGAAACTCTCGAAAGGGCTCATCGAAATTATCATTGACATCCGGAAAAACGCCGCCGCCCGCCGCACCGCCAACAGCGACAGCGACACCACCCACCGTTAATGTGGTGCCGCCATTGAGTATGAGAGTTGGCTGTTGCTGCTGCGGCTGTTGCTGTTGCTGCTGTTGCTGCTGCTGCTGTTGCTGCTGCTGCTGTTGCTGTTGTGGCAGCAACATGTTGGCGCCCAAATGCGCGTGAGCATGCAACAGTTGCTGTTGGGCGTGCGGCTGCTGCTGCTGCTGCTGCTGCTGCTGTTGTGGATGATGATGATGTGGCAGATGCTGTTGCGCCTGCTGATCCACTTGAGACTGTGCATGCATGTGCATCGCCGGCGGCGGCTGCAGTGTTTGCATTGTGGGCGTGGCAGCAACAGTTGCCGCACTCAATAAGCTGCCATCGCTGGCAGCGAGCAGCGCACAGTCATAGGCACCACCGCTGGCCAGGGCATCCTCGAAGCACAGTCCATTGGTGGCGCCATTGGTCGCAGCACCGCCATTATTGCCATTTGGCTCGGCCGTCAGGCCGGTAAGGAGGACACCGCCTACGGCGCCTGCATTTAGCTCCATGGCGGCGGCCTCCTCGTTGCGCTTGGAGAGTATAATGTGCGTCAGATTGATAATGTAATTCTTGGCCAGCGTGAGTGTCTCAATCTTGGACAGGCGACGCTCCATCTCCACATGGGGAATGACCTCGCGCAGCGACTGAAACGCATCGTTCAGGCTGTGCATGCGCATGCGCTCCCGCTCGTTCGACTCCAAGCGGCGCAGATTTCGCTCCTTCGCATTCAGCGCCCCCTTTCGCCTGCGATTGTTGTTGTTGTTGTTGTTAGCGCCGCTGTTGGGCGTCAGGCTGGCGCCGGCGGTGGCGTTCTGCTGCCGCCCGCGACTCGATGGCCGCTGCCCGCCCTGGGCGCAGCCCAGCTGGTTGCTGTTGTTGTTGGTGCTGCTGCCGCCGCCGTTGCTGCTGCCGCCGCCGCCGCTGGTGTCGTCGCTCTGCGAACTGGAGTCGGTCATCTCCAGGTCGTAGGTGTTATTGCTTAGCTGTGGACAAGTCAATCGATTGCTTTGTACCGCCTGCTCGCCATTCTGTGCCTTGCTGCTTACCTGTGAGGTGCGTCGCGTCGCGCGTCGCACGGGCCGCGAGCTGCGCTCCACCGATTCCGGCGATAGTCCATTGTGGCCATCGGTGTTGTAGTTGTTGTTGTTGTGCTGCAACTGCTGCTGCAGCTGCATGAAATCATGACTGCCCATCAGCTCAGTGAGTTGCGTCGCGTCCATCTTGCCCGCAGAGTACTAGGATCAAAGTGCATTCATTTAATATTTCAACAATTAAGAGTGCTCTAGTCGGGTATGCCCGACTTTCCATAACCGCACACTACATTTGTAGCATGCATTCCAGATTAACTTGGATGATTATGAACTATCTAATAAAGTGTGTGCTATACCCTAATTTGGGGATTAGTTCGTTGTCCTGGCTCAATTTGCGGATTGCACAAATGTAATTTATATAAAAACAAATCATTGGAAAAATTCAAAAAGAATTCGGTAGGAATTTATCAATGCAGATTGTTTAAGATTGTGTTCAACTAAAATCTATCTGGTCTTAGCCCAAATTTTTATAGGCAATACACAATAAGAAAATTTTCTGAACTTTGGTATGGATTTACTTTATTAGCACCAAATTGTTGTCATTTAATTGATTTTTCTAATTAATTAATAAGAGTATAATAAATTATAAATAAAAGCATTTCTTATAGTTGTAGAAAACATAAATTAGATCAAATATACGTTGAGAATCTTCGAAGAAGGCATAAACTGATAAATGAGATAATTCGCTTACATTATTATTTAAATAAATATTTAATTAACTAAAACGTAAACAAAATCTACCAATTTAATATCCTGAACCCATTCAAACTTGGCAAAAGGGGCAAAATGTACTTGTGCAAATGTATGTACCAGGCAGAAGGAAGCATCTGTGACCCCATAAATTATTTAATTGTTTCTATGTCCCTATGTATGAACGCAATATAAAACTTTCCTACTTTAGATATATTTTTTATTTTTAAGTTCAAATACTTTGTGGTTGGATAGGAATAATATAGACCGTGAAATCGACTTGAATTTGAGCTTAATTAAGCCTCATATGTCTGCCACACACATTTGCACAAATTCAAATTTTAAAGGGTATAAAATTCAATTTTTACAGGATATAAAAATGACTGACAAAATTCATTGTTTCAGACCTATGAACACATAAATAAACAAGCCTGTAAATTAGCTTAAAAAAGAAAAAACTAGGAAGACCTTATGAAAACAATATAATAATAGAAAAACTTCTAAATAGAAAAACTTCTAAACTTTTGATCAATAAGCAGAACTTCAAATAATTATTATGATAATAAATTATTTCAAATTAATTGAATTCTTAATTGAACTACAATTCAATTTCTTTATTAAATGATTATTTATTTTCTCTGAAAAACTAATAGTCTAGCTAAGAAGTTTGATTTTTAAATTAGTTGTTGCGGAATGTCAGACAATAAATGTCAGCTTATTATTAGATATCCGTATTTTGATTTGTAATTTACAGACTACTGTGACACATCCGATTTTTATGCTTATAACATTTTGTTGTCTAGATTTACAGTCTAACTGACAGTAATTGGCTAACTGGTTGAACATCACGTATTATTTATGCTGGATTTTGTGTGTTTCTGTCATTTTTATCTGCAATCTCAACTTATTTGAATTAGTTTCTCTTTTGCATTAAAATAGATTGCGTCACATTTGAATTTTCTCATCTAAAATCAATATCAGCTACTATCAATGCTTATCATATTGCCCGCTTCAGCAAAAAGTTGGTCTAATATTTTCGATTAATCGATAACACATTTAAACAGTCAATAGTTGCCTTAAGTGTTCATAAATTCCTGGGAGTATTCATAAAGAAACATTTATATTAAAGAACTTACGCAAAAAAAATAAAACAAATAAGAAAATAAATAAAAAATGTTAATTCAATATTTTCGACTAATCGAATAAGAAATCGATAACTCAATAGATGCCTTACGAGTTATTAAGTTCCAGAATATATTTCTTGAAATGAAATCTCTATAGATTAATTACGCATGTTTATCTTAAACCATTTTTCATTTTATAAAAGAATAAGTTTAATGTTTTCGATTTATCAATTAGGCAATCGATAACATACTTATGCAGCTGATAAATTCCGTAGGAGCGATAAAATAATCATATTCAAACTGAAATCTTAATAAAATTAGTTTTTTCGACGTTTATCACCAAACAATAAATTAAATATGTTCAATTAATCGAAGTAGTCGATAAGCTGTTATCAACGTTTATCACAAAATAACTATTTTAATATTTTTTATTTACTTTATTAAGATATTAATAGATGCTTTAAGAGTTATTCCATTCATGATTCTCGGTTCACCAAAGAATTAGCTTAGATAATTCGATTATTCGATTAAGTAATCGATTACACATTAAAGCAATCAAAAATGCTTTAAGCGTTTTAAAAATGCAGGAAATATGCGAAATGCAACCTTTGAACTCTATTGAGCAGAACATGCAATACATCTGTTGTTAGAGGCGGGGCAGGGGATTGCATTGTAGTTGGTTTCTAAATATGTCGAGAGTAAACGCTTTGCACCACAGACCCCGCCCTTCAGAGACGCGAAATGTTGGCGGCGTTGTTATGGTTATGCCCCTTGGCATTGGAGCATTTGACCGGAACAGCATGGAGCATTTAAAGCGTTGACTTGTGGCCACACGGACAACGACATGGTCATGGATATGGTATAGGAATCGGGTATAAGGGAAAGGGTTTTGCGACTTGTTTGGCGCGTAATACAAAACGCGCACTTTGCGGCGCGTTTCTTTTGTCGCCTGGCCGACTGGCAGCTGCGACTGTGTCGCTATTATTTAACTGCATGTTGCGGCAAACAGCTCCTTGGGCCTCGGACTCTTTAATAGAAATGCTGCAAGAACTTACAACACAGTTAAACATAACATTGCTGGCTACGCACAGCGCATTAATGGCAATAAGGTTATAGGGTTACATTCGCAGCGATTGCGTTATATAATGGCTTTTGGTTTTAAAAATGAAAAATTCAAGTTAAAGATACGCATGCCGAGAAATTAATACTCTAACATGTGGCATATAAAACATAAATTATTTTGATTTAAATATGCTTATTTGAGCTATAGCTATAATATATATTAAAGTCTTTCGACCAATAAAGTTATTTTCAGGGCTAGAGCTCAATATAAAACTGATTATTCCCATATAATAGATGAACTCAGCTGATATTCATATTCCTTTTCCAAAATGTTAGCTTTAGATGGCTTAAGACACAAAAAATCGATTTTTTAAAAGAGTTGAACTTTTGATCGGTATTTACTCATTAGGGTTTGTAATATTTTCAAGTTACATTTTTATAGGAATAGTGAAATTGATTAAGTATATATTATAAACAAATTTGTTGACTTATAGTTCCTGTGGGAGCTGTGTAATATTGGGGCTAGAGAAAAGTAAGTTAAGCAAAGATAGCTTTCAAAATAGTTTATTTTTCAATAAGAGAACTCGCATATCTAAAGACCTATAACCAACCATAACACCTATTACAGCTGATCGGGCCAACTTCAATATCAGTTGAGAATCCATTTCCGAGGAGCTAGTTAACATAGAAATAAGAGACGTACACTTATGTCTCTGTTCAAAATGTGCATATATATATATATATTGAAAAATTTTTCATATATAGTTACGCAGTGTGAGCACATTCGCCAACAAATTCCTAATACCTTTTAAAGGGTATTTAAAGAAAAACTCAACAACAACAACAACACTGACTACCATTTAAACGAGTTCTTTTACATGGACTTTGGCTTGGGTTTATTGAAACATGTACGCACTTTGTTGCATTATCCATTATCCGACAATGAGCAGCCGATTTGTCGGCGCCTTGAACATGTTGCAGCTACCAGTTGCTGCCACTGCTGTTGACACTGAAAATGCAGCAGATTTTATGCGGCTTTGTCTGAGAAACGTCCTCAAGGAAGCAGCCAGCCAGCACCTGCGCTTGTGTAATATTTATTATGCTCTCTATTAAATAAGTGAAGCATACATTTGCGCGATATATATTTTTTTGTTGTTTGTTTGTTGTGCTTTTTTGTGCATAAATGTTCGTTGCCAGCTGACAATATTCAACTGCTTTTGACAGGCACACAAAAGTTATCAACTGCCGTATTGGCAATAAGTAGGTCAATGTTTTTTAACTATTGCTGAAAAACGACATTAAGATGATATCCGTGAGTAAGTTTCTATCTAATTCTCAGGCTTAGAATGTTATGTCATATGTGAAGCTTTCAACAAATTGTTGATCTTTGGTCAAATTATTTTCGGAAATAAAGTTTTTTTTTATAGATGCCGGAGTAGTTTATTAATATCCCAATGCCTTTATTAAAATCTATCTGCAATTTATTTATAAGCCAGAATGTGCTTAAGTTTACACATGAGTAAATTCTTTATCCGAAAGAAAATTTTATAAGCTGTACGCACTCGAATTAATGTTTCCTGCATTATACAAACAATTGAAGCTGAAAGCTTCAAATGTTTAACAAATATTTTTCCTGAATTAGAGTTGACCTTTACAAATGTTATATATTTATTTGGAAAATATGTTTTACTTGTTGACTTGAATATATTTATATATTATTTTCCTTATCAATAATTATGTCTTGAGCTAACAGATTTGTTTAAAATAAAACATAAAACTAAAAAGTTTTCTTGTGAAGAGGAAAAACACAATAAGTCAAACCTTAAACACATTAAATATTTTCTTTATAACATTTTCTTTATAATATTTAATTTATATGATAATATTTCCTTATGAAAAATCCATAAAGTTTATTAAAATAATATTTTTGAATTTCTTCTGACTTACATTCAAATGAATTTTAATATGTTTATGAAATATTTGGATATATTATTATATACAATACGGCCACAATTTAAACGAGCATTCACTTTTTTCATAAACTTTACGAAATATGCGTATCAAACATTTTCACAATCATTTTTGCCATATTCACGAGCACCTTTCACTTGGCTAACAGGCATTTTAACAATTTTGCTTTCTTTTATTGGACAACCAAATGTTGCCCGTCGACTATATATATAGAATATATATATATATATATATAGGTATATACCGTTAAACCGAATTCAGTTTTGGAAAACGTTTTCGAAAAAGAACTCGCGACCAAATTGCGTTGGACCAGTTGATAAACTGAGCACCGGAAACGCGTTGACGGCGACTGCCACTTGTGGAATGGCCGTGACGACAAGAGCCGAGCCGAGCGAAGCCCAAAGGCGAATCACGAGCCTGCCCGGCACGAAGCCGAAGCGAACTTGTTGCGGCGCCCGCTCGTGTGAGCGTGTGCTCGTGTGCCTATGCATGTGTGTGCGTGAGTGGGTAAGGGAGACACCCACACGATGCACGGCGACTGGCGAATCGAGAGCTTTTAATTTCGCTCAAAACATTTTGAGCGCTATCTCGAGTGAATGTTCGCTGTGCAATCGAGTGATGGTAAGCTGAGGGCAAAGTCAAAGTGCTGGCATGCAGCGTGCCGAAAGGGCAGCGAGCGGGGCTCTAACAACCGCCCCCCCCACGCCACGCCACTCTTAGCATGTTAGTTATAAGCATAACACATACTCACACGCACACCAGGGGGTGGCTTATGTTTTGGAGTTTGAAGCCATGCACACCACGTGCTGCCCCAACTCCATTTTTGTGTAAGCTGGTAGGGGGCGTAGGCAGGGGCGGGGGCGATGCCTGCAAAGTGGGCCATTGAAATTCTGATTAGCATCATTGACGTACGGCCGGGCTGCTCATGAGTTCTCTCCGAGCGCTCGACTGACTCCATGTGCTGCTCAGCCCACTGTCTGACTGAGTGACTGCCAGAGTCTACACTGTTATTATGTATTATTATCGTCTGTTTGTTTACGCTATTGTTGTTGTTGTTGTTGTTGCTGCTGTTGCTTATCACTGTGCTTATATCCTTATCGAAAGGGTTTTATCGCTGATAAACTATTGTCGAGATAATAATAAAATGTTGCCAAAGAGTTTTGTTTAGTTGCAAGTTGGCCTTTATTTTTTATTTTTTTTTTGTTTGTTATTTTTCTCTATTTATATTTTGTCTTTTGTGCAATTGTTGGACATTGCTGAAGGACTTGTCATTAGCTGCTAGCATAGAGGCAGGTTATGTGAGGCACAAGAAAAGTTATTTATTTGGGTGTAGCACATGATACATAACAAGTATTTTGTGCAGAACAATATTCTCTTATAATTTCCTGTTGAATGTAAACTAATTTCGAATTAGGCAGCAGAAACTTACAATGTTTGATGTCTTCAGCTTAAAGAAACACAATGCGAGCTTAAATTAAGAGGATGCATTCTTGATAAGTTCCACTGGAGACTCAAAAACCTTACGAATTGTTGTTTTTAGGCAAAAAATTAGACAGAATCAGGAAAACACATTGTAAAAATCCTTTTTAGATATTCCACGAATACAGGTTATATAGCATAGGAACTATGTATATGGAAATCATGCATCAATTTCGTATTTTATTAAATAATGTTTCGATTGGGTTTTCCTATCTGAAAACGAGTGCAGAACCAACAATAGGATCAATAGTTTGAGGAAAAGTTTGGAAAGGTAATGTGTTTGGATTAAGTTAAGTTCTGTTTCTAAAAAAACATTGGAAGCTCTTGCTCAAAGCTATTTTGAAGCGTTACCAGACAACCAAAAGTTTGCCCTACGGTCCAAGCCAAAGTTAAATCATTATATTCATATTTTATTCAAAAATTAACGTAATGAATATAATGAATATATAAAAAAATATGGCTAAAATATGGAAGTTTGTGTTTAAAACTGTTTTGTAGCGTTGCCAGACTTTTTAATTAAAGAATCGCTTTGTTAGATCCACAAGTTCATCAGGATAGAAACATGACTTGTTTAATTTTCCATTTAAAGTTAATGTTATTAAAAAACATGTGTCCTATATATGTTCTCATATGCACACACATACATATACATCACTCATTTAGCATTTGTTGAAAGCAGGACATTCGCTTTAAATAAAGTTGCCAGGCTTCCAGTGCACTTTCTGGCTTGGCTTGGCTCGCGTTGCCCTTCTGTTTGGGGCTGTTTGGAGCGCTGTTCCGTTCGCAAATGCCTCTTCAGCCAAGTGTTGCCAAATACAAATTGACAGTTAATATTTTTAAACTAGTCAGTGCCAGGGGGTTGGTTGCCGGCTGTCGAGGGGTGCAGCTCGCTGCTGTCGACAAGGACATTATGTAAATCACACAACGGCAAACGCGTTGGCGTGTCTCCCCATACAATCCCCCACTCTTGCAGCTGTGATGTGGAAATAATAAACAGGAAAAAGACGCAGAGCAAACGAAGGCCAAGCTGCAGATACTCATATACTTTATGGGCGTGGGTGCGGGTGCGGGAGTGGGCGTGCCACTTGTTTCCCCATCCGGCTTGCCACTTGATTATGCCCCATCAGTTGTTGTTATTTTTGCATTCAGCTGCTATTGTTGTTGTTGTTGTTGTCGTCGTGGTCGTCATCAACGGGTCCAGCCCTTAACATATTAAACCGATCATTGTACTCGACATCGGCATCTCAAACAAAAGCCAAACAAACAAATACAATAATAATAACTATCAACTGCTTTTTGTATTTTCTAAGGCTAGACTTTGTTTGTCCTGGTTTTACGTTAAGGCCAATTGATTGCAAAGTCTGTGTGGGGCTATGCAAGTATCCTAAAATACTTAAACAAGGCAGGCATCCGAAAGAATCGATAAATTTAAATAAAGGATAAAGGCATTGAATGCAACATAACTTTAAAAATAGCTACTGATCCTAAATAGATTCTTGTTCGCATAAAAAGTGTGGTTTCTATCGCAATTGCATTTCACTTCATTTTATAGTTTATATATAGATAGTTTTTATTTTTTATTTATTGTTTTATAATAATAACTCAAACTTGACTTTTAGAGAACATTTTATACATTTTGTTTCATATATAAATAGTAAATATATATATTTATATATATGTATTTCGATATAGATAAAGATCATATTTTTGTTTTGAAGTGCAGTTTTGGCTTTTCATTAAAAATAAATACAAATTAAAAACATTTTTAAATCTGAATAAGTGACAACTTCAACCCAGGCTTTGAACTCTGTGCATCGCAAAAAATCAAATAAAACAATTCACTTGGACTGAGAAATATGTTTGTATAGTTAAAGGTCATGAGTGGGCTGGTTGCTTCAGAAAATTGCTTCCCTTTGGCAAGTGTTTAAGAATGAAAGCTGAAAATAAATTGCCAATTGCTTGTTACCATATAGAAAATCCTAAATTCCAAGTAGCTTGGCATTATTTAATGGTTATATTTCAAAAACAGATCCCTGCTCTAATCACAACTCAGCGCCCGGGCCCAATGTCGTGGTAACCGCAACAGGGCAGGGTGTCAATCAAGTTGTGTGAGGGGCGGGAGGGCCAAGGGGGGCGTAGCAGATGCGACTGGCTTTAATGCAATCAAGGAGCACTTCTTTACCCGAGCAGCATATTTAAGCAGGCAGCTTAAAAACGCTTAACACACAAATTTAATCATGACAGGACTTCAGCAGCTCGACCCACAGCCCAAAGGGCTCTGAGACGCTTTAGCTGGGTAAAAATCACACCCGCGGTTATTTAAAATGCTAAAAACATGGCAAAATATTATAAAGCAATAATAGAAGAAAAGAAAGGAAAAAACAATCCTCCAACTGCTACCTTCCCCGCACACACACACAGCATGCCCGGAGGCCAACCCACGCGCCCCTGTCAAATGTCAATAGCAAACGATGACTTTTTCGTCGTCAACAGCTGCTCAGCATCCGGCGACGTCTTCTGCTCCTGTTAGCCACATTCTCAATCCGGCCTCCTCTCCGATCACCGCAACAAGCATTTTTGTTCCTGGTATTTCTCTAGTTTGGGGGTCAGTCTTTCAGCATATTTACATTTATTATGCCCATACCCATGAGTGATTCCCATTTTTCGAACATAATCGCACGTTGTAATATTGACTTTACGATGCGGTGGGAAGGGCTTTAAGCAAACTGCGTGGGAATCTCTCTCTAGCTGAATATTGGGTCAAATTGCTTGGGAATTCTTGAGTTATGTAAAGGTTATTCGATTTGTTAGTGCTTTAAGCTGGAATAATAATAAATCAAATATTTTATTTAAATTGTGATAAGCAAAAATTAATCGCATTCAGATCTGAAAGCAATTCGATCTATTTTATAATTAGATAACAAATATAAATATTTGTATGCAGATAGGCAAAGTATATTTAATAAATTAAAAAAATATATTGAACTCAAGGAAAATAATTTATAAAATATAATTATAAACTAGAAAAGGTTTTTGATATTATATGCATGTAAATCTTACACATCTCACACACAGCTCCTTATTCTAAGGGCGGAAAAAGCAAATGATTTTTATAAGAGTTTGGCTTGGTATTGGCAGAATCACATATCAAATGCAGTTCATGAAGATCCTGGATTGTCGAGTTGAGGTAGAAGGTTGAACTCCCATAATTCTTTCAAGTGAAATGTGTCCACTGCGAGTTCAATAAAAATGTGGCTCATCGTAGCTGCCCTTTCGTTGCCTGTAATTCTGATATTTCCCCTGATTAGCCCTTGACATTTAGTTTCAACAAGCTTTGTTGAATGCACTTAAACATTTATTTTGTGCTTTTATCCATTTATTTTAATTTGTTTTCTGTGTAACTTGATCGATTTGTCGATATCCAAAATGAGCTTGGATAAAATACCCGAGGTCGACATGCTGACCGTTGTCCGAAGTGCCAGGATACATCGTCGGACAGTTTTGGGTTTTGTTCCCCCAATTGGACTGCGGATTGTGGATTATGGTGATGTGGACAGAATCGATCGATTCTACTTGGAGTGCCAGGACTATCGCGATTACTATCGCGACCCCTACGATAAAATTCATAAGCCGCTCAGGTTTAGGCAGCACCTGGGCAAATGTGGCATTAAGTTGGATAACAGTGTGCAGGAATTGCGACAGCCGATAAGTTGGGTGCCAAAACGCCTACCCCCCCTCACGCCTATCAATTATAAATCCAACATGAATTTGGGCTTTAACATGGAGGAAGTATTGAGGGCCCAACATGCCAAAAAATCCTGCATCGCATACAAACGATAAACGATCTTAGGACTTTTTTTATTTCTCGATTTCTGGCGCCTCATCGATGGGTTCATAAAGGGCCTAAAAATTGTGCACACGACTTTTAAGCGTTATATGAACATCAGCGTTAAGTGCGCAATCATCAAATTCTATTGTGATTCTATTTTTATACACATTTTTTTTATATATTGCTAACATTAAAAATTACAAAAAAAAATAACCCAATCAGTTAGAATATATGGTTGGAAGTAGTAAAAAGTATAGGCTAAAGAAATTTAATTTTTAGCTGATTTAGATCTTCATATATCTTCATAAACTTATATTTGATCTACAGACTGAAAAAGGAAAGAATATGCGATTCTGTTTCGCTCTTCCGTTACTTTATCAAGAAATGTGAAACGCATAGAAGAAGACAACTCCGACCCCAAATATATCTTAGATCATTATCAAATGTCGAGTCGATATAGTTTTATGATACTTAGCATAGGGCCGTCTTTCTATTGCAGGCAGTACAAATGTCGCAGCCGGCCGGATCGGGCATTATATCATCGAAATGTAGATTCTTAATTGGCAAAATATTCTATTTTTTAAGATTTATTTCATCATCGAGATGCTCTTTTTTTTATATCTCTCCAAAACGGTTCAGATGAATTAAATGCCGACCCGAGGCATATATTAAAATCTTTTGCCGTTCCGCTCAGCTCGCAGCATTGAATCGCGGTGTTCCCATCCAGATCTAGTCATTGATTTGAATCTCATAGATTTATAATTAATGCAACGCCCGATTGCTAGCTCAGGCTGAATTCCCCACAACTTTAACCAAACATCTGCACTCAATAGAAATCTGAACTCGAGCTTTAAGTCCGCTTTAAATAAAGTGTTTCGAGTATTTATAAATACATCCTTCAGATATTTACCCAGGCACTTGATGCATGTCACTCGACACAGCTGAAAAGCGCACAGAAATAATTATTATTTACACAGCGGCAACGAGTGAATTTATAGCCCACATTTGGCTTAACAAGGACCAAAGAGACAGGCAAGGGACAACGGGGTGTGGAACGGGGGGGGGGGGCGGCAGCAGCATATGAAAGTCTGTGCGGCTTATGGGCAACCTTCATGCTGTACGTTCCATCGAAACACTTGCTAATTGGTGTTATTAAAAAGTTGAGACGAGGACTTTTAAAAATATGCCACGAGCAAATAATGCGCATACGCCACGTCGTACATTGAAGGGAGGTGGGGTGGGCGAGGGACTGTTTGGTACGCCCCCAAATAGCCAAACGCCTCAGCTTCTGCTTTACAATGTAAATGTAATCTAAGTTTTGTTTTTAACACCTTCCGCTTGATTTGTGATTATGAAAATGTTAGTAGAAAAAAATTCATTGCGGCGCACCTTGAAAAGGTCCTCAGAAAATTAGCATTTAAATTACGCGACAACCCTGCTGCAACAACCTGCTGCAGCCCTCCTGCTTCTCCTCCACCTCCTCCTCCCCCTCCTGTTCCACACCTAATGCGAGTTTAGTTTTAACGCTGCGTTCAATGAAGCAACATTAATTGGAATATCCTGGCCTGGACACTCTGACGTCCCATGGCTGGCTTTGATGGCTCGCCTATAATTGTTATTGATGGCGCATTATCCAATGCGACAAACAGCAAAGTCAAGTTTTTATAACTCTCCCATTCCCCGCTTCCGGCTACTGATTGTCGGTATTATGTTAATGAGTAGGCGACGTCCAGGACAGGCGCTGCTTAGGCCTGTTTATGAAACCTGTGCCCCTGCAGGCGGTCCGCTACAGTAAAAGAACTTGATTGAAACTTATTTTAAGTTTTGCCCAGAGAGTACAGATATTTATATATCTATATTAATTAGTATGTTTCTGTAATAAAGATAAATATAGATAGAAATAATCCATCGAAATTCTTTTACTTAAACTTTTCGTTTTCTTAATTTTCCAAATTTATATGAAATGCGAGTTTCTTTTACTAAGTTATTATGATAACAATATTAATTCTTATCACTATTATTATTATTGTTATTATTATTACTATTCTTATTATTATTACTAAGTATTATTATTATTTTTATTATTAATATTATTATTATTATTATTATTATTATTATTATTATTATTATTATTATTATTATTATTATTATTACTATTATTATTACTATTATTATTATTTTTGTTATTATTATTATTATTAGTACAAGTACAAAGTAAATTAAACCATTATTATCAGATTTCTTATATGCAATATCTTAATATAATGGACTTGCGTGATTAGCACCCCAAATATCCGAATCTAGCATCCATTACTTTATTATATAAACTAATAATTTAGAAAAATAAAAATGATATTTTCCGTAAATATGGAAAAATTAAGGTCTCTTTGCTTGAACATAAATAAATGTTGGGCACTCAGTTTCACATTTTATTACATAGCTGCCATTGATTTGGGATATTAAAGGTATTCAGTCCACAGATCAATGGGCATTTTTACGATTTCCTAATCAACAGCCATGTTAGCTAACTTATTGTGTTCTATACGAAGCTCGTCGTTAAACTTCAAGGCCATCTCTCATCAGCTACGCACCCTATATAGCAAGAATACTTACACATGTGACACTAATGAGTATGATAGAGCAGTGGATCGTTTTGCGATACCCTGTTATTGATGCCTGTGGGCGTATAGGAAATAAGATTAATATCAATTTTGAATGCACACATAATTTATCGATAATTATAAACAAAGGATAGATAAAATATATATATATATATATTTCTAAAAAAAAACAGTGTTGAATATCTACTGGAAAGTTTTTTCTTTTCTTAAAAAAATATATCGATATTTTATTCAAAATATTCTACTTTACTTAAAGTGCATACAAAATAGGTATATTTTCGTACTCTTAAAATTATTCCAGACAGAGTTTCTAAGATCCTCAGCTTTCTTATCATAGCGCAAATATAATAAGCTCTTTGTGGGTTAAGTACAGGGTATAACAAACACCCATGCATATTTTAATTTCTGCCTTGCGGATGAGACACGCAGGCAGCGAACGCGGAGGCGGGAACTGAGGCGTGAGCTTTGGTTTGCCTGGCGGCTGAATGGCGCCGCTTTGACCAGCCCGCAAAACTGACGCCGCCGCCAGAATACAGAAGAAGTCGCAGACCCAGAGTTAGGGCCACCCGTTAATCATCCAGCACACACTCACACAGCGACACACACTCACACACACACGCCTGCACACACAAATCCAAGCAACAATCTATTTACATTTACACCAAATGTACAAATTTAGTTATCGTTAGCTTGGTGAGAGCTAGAGAGGAGTTGAGGGGGTAGCGGCTAGATGGGTGGTGTGTTGAAGGGGGGGGGGGGGGGGGGGGGGGGGGAAAGACATCAGACGTCAGGCAAAAGTTGTTTGCGTTGGCGAGCGCACAAAAGTAGGCAACGTTATCTTTGCATGCGCTGGATGGGCTGTAGGACGGGGGCGGGGAGTCACAAGGCACATGTTTACACACATGTTGGAATGCCTGTTTAGGTATGTGTGTGTGCGTGTGTGTGTGTGTGTGTGTGTGCGTGTGCGCTGATGAGTTTTGTTTTTCTTGAGCAAACTTTAATTGTTTTTGATTTTTCTAAGGATTCAAGTGACGCTTGTTTGCAAGTGGATGCTTAAGGATAATGATGAAACGAATGCTGATGATGACCATGAAGGGGGCGTGCTCATATGTGTGTGTGTGTGTGTGCGTGCGTGTCTTGCTTGAAGCCTTTGAATGTCGTTGGACAACAAATCGACGCAAAGCAAATTGAAACCGCGCGCTGGCTAATTAAATGCACATTTGTCAAGCTTCGCCGGGGGCAGGCAAGCAGCACTCTGCACCATCCACAACCCCAAAACCAAACCCTCTGTAACCCACCGCAACCACTTGAAAACAATTGGCAGGCAATTGCCCAAATGTCACGTACGACGTGTAAATGTCACAAAAACAAAAAAAGAAGGAAACCGGTTGCACCTGCTATGCTGGGGCCATGCTAATTGTTGCATCTACCTAGTCGTGTCTTTAGGAGCAGGGTTAAAGGGCGGTGGTTGCACATGTTGCATGTTGCATACTTCATGGCGCATCAGGCCGTCTCCCTTGTATGCACTTGGCTTAAAAGTCCTGCACATGCCATGCAACCGGGAGAGAAATGCTCGGTATACTAAAGCGTTCCAGAATCGGTTCTGGGTCTGGGTTGGCAAATGGTAAAACTGCTTTCTGCCCGTTTTGTGGCTCATCTGTTTGGTAAATTGAAAATTGCGCTCATTTATTGCATTATTCGTAGTTGTTTTTTTTTTCCATGCCCATTCAAATAGCCGTGAAATTGCATTCGATTTGCCAGCCTGACAAAGTCTCTGCTTGAAAATGTGTGAGGCGGTAGTTGGGGAAAGTGTTTGACAATTGTTGCAGCTTTTTAATGCGGCTTCAGTTCTATGATAAATGCCGATTCAAACGCTTGAAACGAAACTAGAGATAAATACTACAAATTTAAAGAGTACTTATGTGGTTTAAGTGAAGGGGCAAATGATTTTTTGTTGTCTATATTCTTTTTGATATCATGTGCGGTATTTATGTATATCCCTTGACTTTTCTATTGTTGATAATAGGCAAATGGTTATTTTTTTAAAATAACGTAGCTATAAACTTATGTGTATTAAAATCAAATTTCGACACTAAATCAATGGGTCTTATGATTTGAAATCCTGGCGGAGTTCATCAGCAACTCGAATTGAAATAAAACGTGCCGGGGAATATATTACAACTGCAATTGAGGCTCTACATTTGATTCCTATATTGATTATTATATGTTTCCGATTTCGAGCACATTTAATATTGAGACAATTTCCTTTATATTAATATACTTATATGTATACGCTTATATCTAATCTCGAATAACAGCCGCAACAAGAAATGGTCGTTGAGGGTGTTGTCACAGTTCTCTCACATGCTCGCATTTGGCAGTAGCCCATTGGGAACACATTCGATTGCTTTGCTGCTGCGGAATGTAAAATAAAACCTTTGCTGTAAAGCTGACCCCGCGCGTCCTCAACCCAGTGGGGCAGTGTTGAAGAGAAATCAACGTCGTCGTTAAATTTAATTAGGCATCAAATGACCAAACAGCCGAGCTAAA